TCTCCGATCTACTCAAGATTACTGGGTACCCTCAGTAGGGGGTCCAGCTGGCCCAGCTGATCCGTTTGTGGCGAAAAATAGAGTTTTAGGTCGAGAATGTATTCTTGCCTAATGAGAGAAAAAAAAAATAAGATGAAAATAGAGATTGTATTCGTTGGGAAAACTTCTACCAGAGTTATCTGGATAAATTACTAGTCATATAATATCAATTTCTAACTTAGGTGAAAGATAGCAGATGAATAATGAAAATTTTGATAATTACAATTTTAGTCAACTTCTTTTTTTTTTATGAAAATAATTAATATATTAATTACATATCAAAATATAGGCAATGATATATTTGCAACATTTTTGTATTTCATATTTTACACCTTTAATAATACTTTATAATAAATTTAAAAAATGTAAAAAGAGTTCATTTTTTCTATTACATATATATTTTTATTATGAATTTATCTATCCTTCAAAATGTTATCAACCATTTCAGCAATAGCCAAAGAAGAAGTTAGACCTGGGCTCTCAATTCCGACCAGGTTTACAAATCCATCAAATCCACATTCAATTTCTTCCTTTATCACAAAATCTTTAAATGGCTCACCTGGTCCTGATAATTTTGGTCTATTTTTTTTAAATAATTAAATAAATATATAAATAAATAAAATTCATAAAATTAACAATCTAAAACCAAGTAGTTCATTACCTGATCCCGGTATAATCAGCATAAAGTTTATCTCTTTTAATACTTGGTAAATAAGTTTTCACAGAATTAAAAAATGCATCTTTTCTATTCTCATCACCATCACTTATTCCATAATCATCTGGTCTTTGAATGTATAAAACATCAGGACCAAATCTTATTTTACCATTTAAGTCCAAAGTCAAATGTGTTCCCAAATTTACCAAATTTTTTGGAGGCACAGGATAAATTAAGTGATTAACTTTTACATCATTACCACGATATCCATAATAATGACCTCTAACATAATAAAGTTTATAGTGATGTGAAGGAGGTAATAACAAATTTGCTATTTTATCAGAATATAATCCAGCAGAGTTTATCACAGATTTTGCAAATATCTTTATAATTGATGGAGTGGAAGTAGATGTAATTTCTACTATATATCCTCTATTATCACCATCATTACCAGGAATTATATTGGTGACTTTAGAATTAACAGCAATATCACCATAATTATCTTCAATTTTCCATTCTAACCAATTAACAAAAGCATGAGAATCAAGTATTCCAGTAGTTGGAGAGACTAAAACTTGTATCGCATTTACATGAGGTTCTTGAGATTTTTGTTTTTCAGATAAAAAGTAAGTTGGAACCCCTAATTTTGCGGATTTCTCATGGAGAGTTGTTAGATAAGCGGATTCGTCATCATTTTGAGCGACTATCCATTTACCTACCCTGTAATACGGAATTGTTAGAGACCTTGAATTTTCAAAAGAGGTTGGTACTAATGAGGAGTTTATTATAAAAGAATCATCAGATGGAGAGTCATCGTAGTTTATTTGGCCTGAATGGTT